TAACCCTCTAAACAAGCAAAACTTTTCGAGTCGCTTGCAAGGTGCGTCTACCAGATGAAGTAACAGTTGTGCATGCCCGTTGGTCTGGTGACAGCACCGGATATCTATCCCCGGTACAACGCAACTAATGCAACATCAAGACAAAAGAATGTTTTTTGTGCCATTGTTATGGTGAGCAACCTGGTCGCCGGCCACACCGACGTTCGCAGCACGTAGACTCTGTTCACGTGGGGAAAATGCAGTATGCGCTCCCAGCTCTGGCTCCTGTGGCAATAGCAGCTGTGGCATGTTAATGCCACCGCTGGGAACACGGCTTTGTTAGTTTATGTGGTCGATCGCCTCTCGCGAGTGCCCTGACCTAATGAGATTAAGGTTAGGGTGATAAGATAATTGTGGTCTAAAGTTATAGTCTATGCACTTCAATTTATTGATAACTCAAACTGCAGGTGAGCAACATACGTGGCCTCCATTTCTCGCTGAAATTAGCGCAACTGAGAAAGTTCTGAGGCTGGTCGGGCATTTTGGCACGGTGTGGTGGAACTTGAGCGAATTTCATGGTTTGGCGCAGCTCGGGGCAAGAATGGCAAAATGAATCAAATCGACGCATTTGGTGCAGCTGTTGCACCCCTGTTCATTTCGTGCACAGCTATTCTGTAGGTTCTTTCCAAGACACAACAAGATAGCCATCTTTATTGTCTCCTTAAATGTCTTGGTTTCACACTTTCACAGACATGAAGTGATAGTGTCACAAACACCATATCTGTCTTTTTTTTTTTCTTACATACACGCCCTATAGATATAGTCAACTTAATTTACAGCTCCTGTGTGTGACCTTACAAGATGTCGGGGAGTTCCAGGCTTCTTTGCTCTGTTGGCTTTTCTGTACACACCAGCTGGACCCTCGTCATATGACATGTAAGGCATAACTGATTATACGAACAGCGCAAGTTAGAAGTAGTTATAGCGTAACTACAAGAGCGAAAAAAACAAGGATAGGAAAGAGTGCCTGGATGCCATTCTTGAAGTTGTTGTCCCTAGTCGTTTAGGTTTGTTTAAAAATTACTTGTATCCTCTGGAAGTTAATCATGAGCCACTGTCTGGTAATTTGATTAGGTTCTTATATCTAACACGCTCCTTCTTCGGAGCAATTATTTGTGCTGGCTCTTCTCACCAGGAAGTAGTAAACCCCTTTTACCTTTCCACTCAGCTCATTCAGAACAGGTGAAAAGAGGTATCATTCATGTTTGTTTTGTTAAAGCTTTTAGGAGGTCATGCCCGCGCTCGGTGCAAGGCAGTTCCAAAACACAGGTAGAGTGCCTCTCAAGCGTTGGTTACTTGAACGCCTTGATTTCTGCTATTGCGGAAAAGCTCTTAAAGCAAATCATTGTTATATGTTTTCGATTATGAATAAACTTCAAACATCAAAATTCAAATGAAAAATTAGAGAGGGTGATCTCAGCCTCAAAATGCGTCAGTTCCAATGAACTGAGCTGCAGTCTTTTATCTGCATAATGTTCCACATAGGCTGAAAAAAAAAAACTAAACGCACTGGTATCACTGTTGCAATTTCTGCCCAGGAAAAGCTATCAAGGCTTTGTAAGTTGGTTAATAATCCAGCTGAAAACACAGAACTCGCTTTGTACCTTGTGTAATTGGTGTCGTATATGCTATTCCTCTATCTTGCAGTAAGATATACATAGGGCAAACTGGAAGGTGCTCGAAAGACCGTTTAATAGAGCAAGCACAATAATAATGTGCACACTGCGGTTCAAAGATACTTCGGAATTCAGTGCCGAGACTGCGGCTACGTGCTCCTGTTTGAGCGTTGCGAGGTAGTAGGCAAGCACTACTTGCAGGCCACACGTGAGATAATTGATGCCTATCACATGAGTAAGTTTGATGGTAAATGTGTAAGTTGCTATCAGTTGCGCTGTTGCAAAAAGAGATTGCATATCTCGATCATTTTTAAGCAACATGTGTATTTGTTTCGAGCTCAATCAACAAGAGACAAGAGTTTTGCTGCCATTGTATTGCAGCGGTTGTTAACTGCACATTTCTACGCATCCAGATTTTCTTCTTTTTTTTCGCCCATACATGTACGTCAATCCGCTATTAACGGCGCACTTTTCTATCCTTGTTTTTTTTTCTTTTCCGTAGTTACGCTGTAACTACGTCTAAATTGCACTGTTCGTATATTCAGTCATGTCCTACCAATTTACCCAAGTTTCCACGCTAAATATAAGGCTTTTGCCGTAATAATCCAGGGGAAAATTTTCTGCTGGTTCCCTGCTGGCTTTAGTTGGAACCAGCAGTTAGGCTGCTGGCTTCTTGCTGATTGTACTGGTTCCAGCAGTGTGCCTACTGGTTTTCTGCTGGTTCCAGCAGGGTGCCTACTGGTTCTTTATTGGGACCAGCACGTTGCCTACTAGCTTGTTGATGGTCTCAGCAAGCTACCTGCTGGTTTTACTGGTTCCAGCAGTGTGCCCATTAGTTTTCTGCTGATTCCAGCAGGGTGCCTACTGGCTCTTTACTGGGACCAGTACACTGCCTACTGATCTGCTGGTGGTCCCAGCAAGCTGCCCGCTGGCTGTACTGGTACCAGCTACTCCTTAGTAGCATTATACTGGTATCTATTATTGGCATTGTTTTTTTTTTTTTCAAACTAATACTGAATACTTAGCTACTTAATAAATATACTGCACAATAAAAAGTTTTATTATTTATTTACAGGTAAAAGCATAAGAAATAGTAGTCTTATATAACATATAAATTATTATGACGTCTTAGCGCGGTAGTTTAATACAACACATGTTATGCTGTTGTCGTCCCTTGTCTGTCTTTGCATTTGTATGTTCGGTGTGTTAGCTGCAAGTTTTCTCTGGAATCTGTGTGACATGAGCATGTAATAGTTTATTTTTGGGTCAATTACATCTGTGGAAAGTGTAACAAGTGAATATCAACCTATTTGAGCTGTTCTTGGTGCAATGCTATGCGGTGTCTTGGTTTCGTGAGTGATCGAGGCCCACCTTGTATCTCAGCGATCGATCTTTCATGCAGGTAAATCACATGAAAGATCAAGTTATTTCAAATATAAGTAAATCGTACGTATCCAGAATGCTTCTGCGCTTTATCAAGCTCACTGTCATCGTACATTGGTGTTTGTGATGTTAATGAATTCGCATATGCGTGCCGGTTGCTGTAAGTAAGCCACGATCCTTTGTCTCTGTGTAATGAAGTATTAACACACTGCTTAATTCTAGTTTTCTGAGTGAACTAATGGGGCTGTATAGATGTAAAAGTTATTCGCTTAATATGTACGTCGTCGTGCGCACTGCTTCCCGCGAATAGATGTTAAGTAGAATTTTTAAAGATTGATATCTGCTGTTACGATCTGCATTGACAACAAAATATTTTATTTTGTTATAGATTGCCTACATCACTTGGCTGCCCTTGACAATACAGACATCTGTGGTGTGGATCAAGGTCCCCTGTAGATTTTCATTCGGAACAGTTTAAGCGGGAGCCAAAGCTGGCAGATTATCGTTTTCAAGTGTAAATAGTATATTTTTAATAAATGTAATAGATCAACGCTTGTGTGTTATGGGTGTATTTAACAGACTTTTCAAACACAGCCCTTTTAGAACTACATGCTATTGAGGGGAACAAACTTATTCTGCTCATTAGTATCACTGTAACTCGTATTACTAACTCATACTAAGTATTACGAAAATGAAATGTGACGATTGTTCAGCTGTGAAGGGACCAACTTCCAGTTGAAAACAGGCCGCATTTAAGCTGGTTTGAGCTGCAATAAAGCTTGCAGCTGACAATATATGCAGCTCAAATCAGGCTTATTGCCTGCTTTGTTTCTTGGAGGTGTGCTACATGTCAGCGAGTTACAAGTTGGCCAACTGCCTCCAACACTGTGCTTGAACCACCAGCTACTGGTTCCATCAGCTGCTGGTTTCAACACCTGCTGTAACCACCGGCTACTGGTTCCATCAGCTACTGGTTACATCACCTTCTGGTTCTATTACCTACTGGGAATGTGCTAATAAACCAGCACTGCTGGAACCAATAGCCAACCAGCAGAAAATTTTCGCCTGGGAAGATAGCTACTTTCGTTTTGATCTTTGTTTCAGCATTCATAAAGAACCCTTGAGAAATGTTTTTGCCCCCCTATTGTGATGAGAGACTACAGGCCTTGACTCACGTCCCCAGCTTCAAGCGTGACTGTCTCTTGTGAGAAGTGGCCAGTATCCTTCAAATTTGTGACAATTGCGACTCAGCATCACGCTCACTACCCAAAAACTTAACAGTCTTCTTCCTTTGAACCCCCGCACACACAGATGCTTCTACAACTATGCAGCAACAAGGATCCCAATGGCCATCCGGTGATCGCCTGCAAGGTTCAGAAACATTATTCAATCCTACAGTAATAAAAGACCTAAATTCCTGCCACACCATATTACAATAAGCAGGAGTGATGCCGTTCCCTTCCGTTTACTACAGATACTCTTACCCAACTCAGGACATCATATGCCATCGCTACCCAAACCTATACCCCCTTATTCTGTGCCCCCAAAACGGGAGGGGGCCACATAACAACACTGCAGTACATGCTCTGGGAATGTGCTGGCCACAATGGTATTGAAACCAATGCCCAAAAAGCATCGAGCTCACACATTCGCACAAGCAGCCTGGCTGCAAGCGCTTCAGGCACTTTCTTATTGAGTCCTGCCACCGCAGGGAGGTGGCCCTCAAAAGCTCGAAGCTGAATAACCAGCTAAGGGCCATCCAGTGAGCCAAGGATGCCACCCTAGCCCAAGGCCTCCAAGTGACCATCTAAGGTTACCAAAACCAAACTGCCGACTCATTCTACTCAGTAATTTTTATCTATTCTTCCCATTATGCTCACGCTAAAGTTTTTTTTTTTAAATTGACCATTCTGAAGATACAATAAAAACAGTGACCCAGCATTAGCTGAAATGAGTACATACTGGAGCTTCCCTTCAGCAGGTCCAGCTCGGAGCACATCTGAGATGACAATTGATGGCTCACCACTGGTGAAGTGTGGGTTGTCCCGGCCACCACTAACAGCAATGCCAAAACCATAGCCAGGAACCTGCGGGAAGCAATTCTGCAGCCATCCGCCATTGCTAGCCACCACACTCACCCGCCCCAGTGTCACATGATGGTGCTCCCACCGAGCCCGCTCACCGCCCTGCAATACAAGGTCACATCATTACTGCAGCCTTTAACATGCCTGTGCAAAAAAAAACATTCATTTCAGTGGCAGTCAGTGTGAATGCAAGTGTCCATTAGTAGGCCCAAACATGTCTACTGGGTTGCAGGAAAATTAGATGACACAAACTGCCAAAACCATAAAACAACGCGAAAGTAAATATCGTCACTCGCAACAAGCTTTATTTTTGCAAAACCACAGCAAAATATACAACATGCTATACATGTACAAGAACACACCATCACAACAATCGGCCACTCTCAGTACAATAAAAAAATTCAACCTCAGCCGATTTCCTCACAACCGACATACCGCTAATACAGATATTTTTTTTCCTTCTAATGTAGTATGCTTCTAGCATCTCTTGCTCAATCACCTACTCACTTCTACTAAGAATGGTGATTAGGCAAATTTTGCCTCACGTCTACATGTGCTGCAGTGCACAGGCAAAAGTTACGAAATATTGTTCTTGACCAAAAGATCACGCTCCCCCTTTCGATCGTTTATGCATCGGCCAGTCTGGCCAATGTAGCCCCTTTCACAGAAGAGCGGAATTTCATAGACCACTCCCATCACAAAGATGACTGTGGGCGTCGAATATCTCTTATCACTTGGGGCAGGCATGGGTCCTTTTGAAATCTCTGGGCACAGACCCCACAGCTTCCTTGGTACAGAAAACACCACAGGTACTTTAAACCTATTAGCTACCTTTTTAAACGGGTAATGGCAGAAAATTTTGCAGCCGACATAGCCTACGGGATCGATTCCCATGAACATGACTATATTATCTGCAAAATATCAACATTTGTTATAGCTTGAAAGCTATTTTACATGAATTTTGAAGTTTGCATGTACAATCGATACCCTGGCGCTACTGACACACTCAAAACTCACCCTCGGTGACCACCTAGTTATCTCAGGTGCCCCCACTGCAATCAATACCTTAAGTTATAATGACATTCTGTGCTCACACGACAATTCGTGATCACTCGTTTTGTGCTCACATGACTTCCTGAGGGCCAACTTTAGGTAAGAAATGACTATACCACTTTTTTACAACCTTTGAGTGCTTCGACCAGATATTTAACAGTGGCTTTGAAGACCTTGGAGAATACTGCCAGGAAACGTCGTTCTTCTGAAGCATCAAGGAGATGTCTAGAAGTTGTATTACACCATTCTGAGGCAATTCTTTCATAAAGTTCCGTTGAATTCAAATTCTTTGCTGACTCTACCAAAGATCAGGTGATTGTCTACGTAATGAAACAGCACCTTAATAATAGCATCACCGATGAGACCCTACAAATGTACGTCGCTCTTGCTAACACATAAATCATTAAAAACAGGAGCTACCTTAAAACCAACCTATATCTTCGATTTCTGAACATAAACGCCTTCTTTCCAACCTATCAGTGGCAAGTTCATTACATAGAAAATTTGGTTTTAAATCCTTCGATTTATTTTTCAGAAAAAGGCATCTCGAAAAATAGCTGTTGCTAGCTATTTGCAGAACTGTCTATTCTCCGAGTGTTTCATATCCTTTTCTTATGCTTAATTTTCAGGCACATCTGTGAAATGCTTATCAAGCACCCCCACCATTTTCGTAGATATGAAATAAGCGCCGAATGAGCACCAATGGCCAGTTCGGGTCCGGGCAAGCACACCCCCTCCCAAATTCGATTGGATTATTTTTCACCATACAGGGGTTGTTGTGGGAAGAGCACTTTCCCAACACTTTACGTTAGTTCAGTTCCTTTCAGAAGAGAACCCCGGGGGCTTTGAAATTTTTAGTATAGATATTGAACACCTTTATAACTCTTGGTCACATGAAGACTTGCTAAGATGTGATAATGTCTGTATTAGTGAACATGGGCCTTAGACGACTTTCACCGTCAAATGAAGCGTTTTGAGGGGACTTTTTTTTAGAAATTGGGCTGGCCTGATTTACGTACACCTAATTACACGTCAGCAGTATCGAATATACGACACTTTCGGTGCAGGTGACGCAAGAGGGGTCGATGCATCAACACGAGGTTCAGTGAGCAGGACTATCACTGCTCCAGGAAAGATGGAGGCTACTTGGCCATGCACTGTAGGGATTGCGGTTGCGCACCCATATTGGGCAACACGAGGGTGGTGTGTAAAAAAAAGGCTGAAACGCAATAGTGGTGTTCATTGTCCTTATCAAAAAAACTCCCAGTTCTGCCACTAGGGCGAAGCAATGAGTGTGAGAAATCAGAATGACTACATACTGGAGCTTCCTTTCAGCAGGTCCAGCTCAGAGCACATTTGAGATGACAATCGATGGCTCACCACTGGTGAAGTGTGGGTTGTCCCGGCCACCACTAACAGCAATGCCAAAACCATAGCCAGGCTCTTTTTTTTGTGTGTGTGTGTGACTCTGGGGCACCGAGAAAGGGGTGCGCAAATTACGTGGGGATTTCACAAACCAATACGAAAAAAATGTGTAATGGTCCTAATGCGCACAGTATATATACAACAAAACAATTTCGATAAATTGGAGCAAGAACGAAGTGTACTTATTTATTTACAGAATTAGCACATTACTTTAAGCAGTCATTTCCGGTCACACGTGGTCTAGTAAGAATCCCTGATCAAAAGCTCCGATAGAGAATAATCGTCGCGGCCGCTACCACCGCCCTCCCAAAGCGCGTCGCCCTCCGTTCTGTCCAGCGCATTCAAATGTCTCATTTTCTTGAAGCTCTTCTCAACAATGCTAGGAGAAACTAGGTCCCACAACAAGGCGATACCCGAGGACCTACACACTCGCACATAATTGAAAAGTCCTTCTTCAACGACAGAAAACTTGTATGAGCAAGCATGCACCTTTTTCGGAGAACTTCACGCTGAAGTGCTTGGCGGTGGCACGATTCCCATTTTCTTTGGCAAACTTTACAACAACAAGCTTGAATTTCGCCGTATATAGGCTTACTGCCTAATCATGAAATAACAGCAAAAACGCGAAGGACGGATGGCAAAACTTAAACTTCCGAAATTAACCAAGCCTGCGTTGCAGCGCAGACGCAGCGAATGAGGGGAACAGTTGGCGCGGCAGGCCCAGCAGGCCCTCTTACGCCTCTGGCACCGAAATTTGTCCCTGTAGTGATGCGAGCGTGCATTCACACGGTGGTAGAGATGACGAGATAGAAGGGGACAAATGCTTGAGCAGTTCCGGCCACCCATCAACAGGTTTGACTGTACATGAATGGTATTCTAGAGACCCTAGTTCTGGGGTACTCTTCAGAAGAAGTGGCTTCATACTGACAGCTCGTTTGACTGTGCTAGCCTGATCGGCGACCGCTAGTCTGGCGGGCCAGCCAACAGGTCTACAGTCTTCCTACACGCGATGGCACGCTGGCTTGCGCGGGTCGGGGAGCGGGAAATATGCGAGCAAATATGTTTATTTTGTAAAGCTGACCAAGTATTCGAGATGCGAAAATTATGCGATGACGCACATTACGCAAGTTAATACGATATTAAATACCTGCGGTCATGGTTGTTATGTGTTTATATTTGATAAATGCACTATAAATGTCCCCAATGCAAAAGCTAACGCTGTTTGACTTTTCATTTTAACTGCGGCATGACTCCACTGTGGCTAGTTTGCCCCATGTTCTCTTACATCATGAAAGACCACGTTTTCTTGCTCTTGTCATGGGCAGGTTTCAATTTGAAAGAAAGCGTTGATGATAGAAATACGCTCAAGCAGTTCCGAGATCAGCATACCGCAAGTGTCCATACAAATAGCTCGCCAAATTATTGCTGCACTCCTTCCGCAAGTTTTGTTATCGCCCCATTACACTGTCAGTAATTTTTAGGCGGCAGTGTTCGACAAGCTTCAAAACTGTAGTAGACTGTTTCAATAAAGTTACGGCCATTTCACAAACATTAAAAATTACTCTGGGTGCTAGTGTGCCAGTGTGGGTGCTAGCAATAACGCTAGAATATGTATAAGTGCTGACGTGCTGCACCGTTTGTCAGTTGATCGATGGCTGACACTCTATTCACCGCCATCAATACCAGCAAATATCGCTGTAATCTGACTTTCAGTTTACGAGCCACAAGTTTGGGCAGATCAAGAGTTTAATCTACCTACAGTCTGCTTCCTTCGTCCACATCACGACCCTGTGACAATATTACCAGCACAAGCATAGTGCATGGCTGTGGTGGCTAGCACAGCGGGCTGCAAAGTGAGGTGTCATTGGTTGTGATGCCAAATATGTTGCTTTGAAATTTTTTCTACTGATTTATTTTCCTTTATACCTTTTTACATTTGTAAGTACATATACATATCAGGGACATGGCGGCCACAGCGAGTGTAATAAAGATCGATTGAGGTGCCCTGAAGGACACTGTGTTCTAATACCGGTGCCATGCGGTGCAGTGGTGATGGCAATTAAGCACCAGCTTGATTAAACTTTTCCACAGTGATTGGCAACCTCCCAGAGCTTGTGTAAGATGCCTCAAAGGTAGTCTTACCGTGTAGAGAGAGAAGCGAAAAAAAAAAGGTGGAGACTAGCATAGGTTGGCAGTGAAAGGTGCAGCTTATCCACACTCACCCAAGAGCTATATTTTGTGCCTGTGGCTCATTCCGACTCAGAATCGCCAATACTTTTCTCTGCCGGACTCACTCGGTCTCAATCCCAACAAAATCTTACTCACAAGTATTATTACACAGACTCAGGCTCGCGACCCAATCTGAGTCTGAGTGAGTTGACTGATGAGAGCTGGGCAACCTACGGGGAGTGGTGTATGGTAATAACAGTTTGTTCTATTACATCATGCTTAATGGTCAGCGCAGACGGGAGCATGAAAGAGAAGCTACAGGGACCACTAGTGCCGTTCTAAACAGAATTTTTTTATTGGAAAGAAAAACAACAAATATCCAGCTTTATTATAACCATGTGACTGAAAAAGAAACACAAAATATGACACTATCTCTTGCTCAAGGGAACCATGTG